AACTCATTAATTTCTATCTCAGTTCCACTTAATAGCTCAGTGAGGCTTCTATAAAATAGCGTGCAGTTGAGACAGAAGTTCCTCTCTCTCCCACACCCTGTTTCTGATGGGGACAATGTATGATCATGTGTGCCTGTCAACTGCAAGTGTTGTGGTCCCGCAGTGGTCTTCAGCTCATGCATCAACACCTGCTGATAATTCTGGTGGGTAGGTGAACAGGCTCACGCTGCTGTTCGTCCCTGGTTGCTTCCATTTGCAGTGAGGTGTAATTTCAGGGACTGCACATTGCATTCATTTGCAAAGCAAAAAAAAAGAAATAAATTTCTTAGGTATAGGCAAATTTGGGATGAAGGAAAGGGCGAAGAACATCCAGACACCGTAAAGGTGCAGTCTGTGTCCAAAGCATGCCCTGATGCAGTTTCACAGCTGCCAGCAGAGAGGGGTAGTCAGCCGTGTAGACAACAGCTGCATTGCCAAGGAACAAAATTACAGAGCCAGATGTTCTTCTTGGAAGTACATTACACCGAACTTGGCAGATGAGTGCTGTAGCTGCCAAGTACGCCTCTTATTTGGTCATAGGTAATGATCCCTCTATCAGGGAATGCAAAAGGAAAAAAAAAAAAAAAGACCACACAGAAAATCCTCATCAAAATGTTCTACTTGAAACATTAACTTTTCCTTGATCAAAAAGACGCAGGAGCTCCATGGCAACCTTCACATCTTGTTTGACGGATGATGTTGTTTACTACCAGGCACGAAGTGAGAAACTTGCAGTAACCAATGCCAAACACTTTCAAGGTATTTGCTACCGAAAGGTGACTAAGAGGCTGAGATAATTTTTATAGCACCCACAGTTGTTTGTGGGCGCTGTTGTAATTCTCAGCTAGGGCTGCAAGTGAGAAGGAGAACTTCTGGTCCTGTCTCTAAAGTAAATATCAGCAGTTCGGGTTTCTGAGGATATGTTTGTGCTGTAGCCACGTCTGCGACTACCGAGTGGTAGGGACAGACCCAGCCTAGCTGTGCAACAGCCAGCTGGGTGTGAGTAGAGACTAGCTGCTGTGTAGAGCACCTTCCTCAGCTTGGGTATCCATTTTTGCTGGAAAATGTTAAAGCCTGACGTTGCCTGTATTGCTGTCCAGAGCTAATGTTTCTGTGGTCTACAGTACTCAGCAATGGCAGCACTGAGAGATATGGGCCCAAGTTTGTGCCAACTAGTGGGATACAGTTCATGTAAGTGCCTGAGTTGCGGGTATGGTTGTGTTGCTGATAGAGGATGCAGAGATTCACCCCGCCAAAGACCACAGACACCCCCCAAGTGTACTTACCTAGTGAGAGCTTAGATGACTGGGTCTTTGGAAATGGATAATACCAGCATCTCTGAGGTACCTGGAGACAGAATTCATTTCCTGTACGTCTTTAGTCATCTTTCATAAACATTCTGCATTTGATCTGTCTCTCCTGGGACTCAGAAGTTGCAAACCCAATGTCTTTAAAAAACAAAGAAACTAACAGCGGCCCAAAACCCTCTGAAAAATAAATCTCTCAGTAAGGAACTTACCCCTAAGAATTGCTTTGACCCAGCATTTCCTATGTGTGATATTAAACTCGCTCCTGCACCATCAACAAATTTAAGATCCGGTGTCTCAGGGATTGCAGAGCTCAGAAAATCTGCAGGTTTCAAACGAGACTTTCAGATTACACAGAAGGATTTCTTTGTCTCTGGTCACAGGCAATTTACAGCCCCTACCACTGATCTGCAGCCCGGAGGAAAAAGGTCAGTTGGAAAAGCGGGGTTTGGAGTGAGAAGGGCCCTGCTGCTTACTATATCTTCCAGGGACTGGGGGACGACAATAAGTGTCTCTCCCCACCTAGTGGTCATCGAGAGATTTCTAACAGAGCAGTAGCCTGGATCAGAGGGGTTAGCAGCCTGCCAAAAGTGATGCATTGTGAATTTTTTTCCATGCTAGCACCGGGAGGAGGTGGTTGCTGTCTATTGTATCCAGCTGAGATGAAAGCAGGGAGAAGGATTTGGTTTCCAATACACTCCTCCTCAAAATATAGGGAGGGTAAGGAACTGAACTGATGGTAGGAAATGATCGTAAGAGATGATCAGGGGGTGGACACTAATGTTTCTTTTCTCCATAATTCACCTGCTGTTGGTTTTGTGGTGAGTGAGAACAAATTTTAAATGTGACAGGAGCAGAAATATCTTCATTGCTTGACGGCTTGTTTGGCCTGGCTGCGGGTAATTCTTTCTGCAAACAATGCGGCGTTGGGCGAGGGGAGAGGAACGTGAAATTAAAATGCATGTGGATGTTAAGCAAAGCTGATGCTTGTCTAAATTTGAATAAGGGAGCAAAGAGAGTAAGTAGTGAAAACAAACAGAGTTGTTTGAATTCTTCCCATTCCAGCACCCTAAGGTGTTACCAGTAACACAGAAAAAAATATATGAGGCAAAAATGTGACTGCAGTATTAACACAACGCATTCCACTCCCTTCTGAGACTATTCATATGGAGCCTGCATGGCTGTTAAATCATCCTGTTTGGGAAAGCAGTGGGTTTTTTGCTACTCTCCTTTTAGAACAGACTGTGAAACAGAGCAAATAGAGTAGCCAGGTGTACTTGCAGCCCCAAAAGTACCTTGCTGTGACTTTGGGCTACTCACATATGGCTCTCTGCCTCAGGGCTAGATGATCTTTCATCATCTTTTCCAGTGCAGTGTTATTATTCTGTAACTGTGAAATAAGGATAATTATATTTATGTGAAGAAAACTTGGAAAATCAAAGCTGAAATGTGTAATTAAAGACTTCAGTTTCATCACAAGTGCTGGCTGAGGCCAATTCTCTGCAGGGCCACTCAGTTACCCTTCCCTCTGGCTAGATGAAACCCCGTGGCTGAATCCTTCTGTTCTGCACAAGGACAGGAGCAGGGGTCTCAGCTCACACAGCTTCTCTTTCCCCCAGCAGACTAATTTCCCAGAAAACTCCTATAGAAAATCCCTAGAGCTTAAGCCTGTGCTGAGTTTTTCTTTTTTTTTTTTTTTTCCTTTCCTCTGAATGCAGAGGCTTGACATGAGCCAAAGAGAGCTGCTTTCCCTGGAGTCAGGTGGGGGCTCAGGAGGGGACAGCAATTCAAGGAGGGCTGTGTGCAGGGGGCTTAGCTGCATCCTGCATCCCATCATATCGGCCAGCCCCAGCTCAGGAGGTTAGGCTCATCCCATTCACCTTCCTTCTCCTCGGGGAAAGGACATACAGAGCCTGCATATTTCACATCACAGAGATCAGATGCAGGGGAAGAGTCTGTGTTTGGGTTGATTCTGGCTTTATGTGGCTTGGCCTATAAATACTTGAGGCTCTTGAATGAACACAGCACCCAGGATAAAGAAATCTGCGCTTCCCAGTTTCACAGGAAGAGGTTTGTGGTGTGTCCTCAGGTAAGATGTAGGGCCACCAGCTGGGTAGGGACCCAGGGGCAGCTCCAGTTGCAGCTCCACCAACTCATCCCAGATACCTGCTTCAGCCCTCGCTGATGGACCTTCTCCTCCTGCACACCCCAGCGAGTGTGGGACAGCTGCTGTCCTCTGAGATTTCTTGTAATTCTCCCAAACAGATAGTCTGAGCAAGAAGCTGACAAAATAAATCCTCTTAATGGAGAACTGAACTACTGTGAGCTTTACCAGGTTAGTAAAAGCTTCCCTGGACAGGAGCTGGACATTTCCCCTGGTAGAAATAGGGTCCCTATTGCTGTGGGCTGTTCCCATGGACTACCTCGTCTAAGTGAGTTTGTTTTCAATACAGCCCTAAAATAGGAAGGTCATCTGAAAGCCCTGTAGCACCATGATAAGGGGTCAAACTGTCCTGCGGCTCAGGTGAGGAGGTGAAAGAAGTCTGGCAGAGGGTCTCCACGTGCCATGAGGCACTATCTTCCTGAAAGTGTCACGAGCTTGGAATGGGAGAAGGGCAAGATGGATTTCTTCCTTGTCTCAACCATAATTATTATTTTCTCCACTTGATTCTACAGAGACCTTTCATGTTACAGTGGTACAATAAAGCCGATGGAAATAAATGTGGATCTTCCCTCCAGCTCTCTTATCAATACCTTTGTACAACAATAAATAACAGGAAAGCAGAGCTCGCTTGTCAGTGTTACCAGCTGCTATTGCTTTCTTTAAACATACAGTCATATATATTTCAGTCTTCTTTATTGCTGACTTTTCTGAAATAAATAACAGCATGAGATGGGCTGTGAACACATTGTCTTACCTAAGATCTTAAATAAAGACTGCTAAATAAGGTATTACTAACAGTCAGATGTTAGATATCTTGCTTTTTTATTCTTATTTTCAGTAGTTGTTTTATTTTCAGGGTGTGCCAGAGAAACTAGTCAAAAGCAAACTAAGTTGCTAATTAGTCTCAAATTAGGTTATGTTGACAGCTAACCCTAATTTACACTTCAACACATAGACAGGTGGGTGTACTTGTTGACACCTCGTTGGTCTGGCACAGCCCTATAAGCTTTATAGGAGAGAGCATCCCCTTCCCCATCAGCATCCCATTTTCTGCCACCTGCCTGGTCACAGATGGTTCTGGCTTATCTGTGGCCTCTCCTTGACCAGACACCACACTCGTGTCCTACTGTCCCCAGCAGGTGCAGCTGTCTTGGTTGAGGCCACTTGCATGTTCCTGGAGTTTTACTTCCCATCGTTAGCATGAGTAGTGTGGACACTTCAGGATCCAACATGCCGTCAGTTTGAGGACAACTTGTTGGGATGTGCTTTTGCAGGCAGGTGCCCATGGAAACCATGTTTTCGTCTCTTGTCATGACTGAAATCAAGATACCCAACATCTGCTCCCTCCCCCTTTCCCAGTCATACTGTCAACGAGGGAAATGAGTTTGGGTTTGGTACAATGTGTTCCTGACGTATCCACTCTGGCTTTTTTTAGTCTCTTTATTTTCTTCCTGGTGTTTATAACAAGATTGTTTAATAATTTGCTCTAGTCTCTTTCCAGACTGACAGTTTTATGGTTCCCCAGCTTCTCATTTTCCACCTTTAAGAGGGAGAAGCACTCTGTTTACCCTCCTGGTATGCGGCACAAGCTATTTCACACGAAGGAGCAGCAAAATGATATTGCATTATGACAACGCCTCTGAGTCATCGTGAGGACTAACCAGGAACCATGGCGGTGAGGGGACAGTTGGAATGTAGCAGGTAGCACTTCCTCACCTTTGCAGAGGGTTGTGCGCAGCTGAGCAGTGCCACAAAGTGATGGTGGGGTCAGGATGGCTGCAGAAAGAAAAGAGAATGGCAAGGCCAAGCACTGCAGATACTGGGTTATCAGTGCTGTCCAACAGTGTGGGTGTTTGGCTTCGGGTATTTTGGTGTTTTGGAAGTGCAGTGTTGACTTGGTGCGTGGCTCTCCATCTCCCAGTGTGGAAAAGCTGAACTTTCCTTTTCCAGCCATGCACTGATGGTGGTCTGAAAGAACTAAAAGGCCAATATATGACATCTAGCTTTGATCATATGCATGTTAATCCCTGGCGTTCAAGAAAAGAAAAGAAAAAAGAAAAGAAGAAAAAAACACAGTGCTGTTGTTTAATAAAAAATGAATTAACTTGCCACACATCTTATATGAAAGATTATTTTCTTCCCCCCCCCCCCCTTTTTTTTTTTTCCTTTTGACATTACTTTGTTGATCTGTTTGGGGGGATTAGGTACTGGGACATTAAATTTGTACAGACTTTCTTAATAAGCTATGTTAGGCACAAATATCCCTTAAGAAAACTATTCTGTTCTTGCTGTTGATAACTATATCCTTTTTTATTATTCAGAACACGAGAACACAAGACAAGAGAACAGAGAATCCAGAAGATACCTAGCTTGTAAATAACTTCATAATTTTCCCTTTTTCTGTCTTTGTGTTTACAGAACAAAATGTTTAAATCCAAGTGTACTTTTGCTAGACTGTATCAGTGTTTATAGAGTCTGTTTTTCACAGCTTAGAAAACGAAAGTTCAGGGAAATTCCATCATTCTGGTGGTAATGAATTTCAGATCTAACACCCCTGATGTGTAACAGCACATGAAATATTTGTTCATTTAATGTTGAGCGGGCGTTGTGACGGTATTGTGGTTGTTTCTGAGTTCATTCACTTGAGAAGAATGTTTCTCTCTTTACAGTGCAGAACTGTGGCTCAGCCTGAGCCCCTTGCTATGAAATTTAGGTCCTGTGCATGGGCATACAAGCCAGTACAGTACAGAAAACAAAGCGATGATTGAATTCCCTTGCCTTCACGAATATTTCAGTGTTTTCAGGATCAACAACTTAATTTATCCTTTTAGAGTAAAAAGTAATGTTTATTGTTAACTACAGTACACACAGTTAACTACAGTACATGGCAACGTGATGGATTACAGCCTGCAAAATGAAGAAAAGCATTGAAAATACAGCAACTTCTAATTATCAGTTTTATCTGTACTGTGACAACAACTATGGAAGAAATCTTTGATCTCATAATAGAGCCAGGGTTCCCTTTTTCTTACTTACTGCAATAAACAGGAAGGGGATATTACCTGCTTTCACGCTAATTCCCTAGATAGCACTATTGCTTGCTGTGCCATGCAGGGTTACAGAACAATTTTGCACGACAGACGCTACTTTTTTTGGCATAGCTTCTGGAGAAGTAGCGCATGGTTTGTGTCGGTCATGTTCTTATTGTCACTTAATAAAGACTTGTAAATCTGTCCTCCCACATCACGCAGAGCAGTGCATTTGGGGCCAGGTCCCAACCTGGTCTGAAGTGGCCTGGTGAGCTGAGGCCGTGTTGAAGGTGATGGCTACAGCCCAGGCTCTTCCCTTGGCCACCTTCCCTGTGCCCCTCTCCTCCCTCTTGGCATCAGACTGGGCTGTGTGCCCCCCACACTACCAGCACCCCAGCTTTGTGCTGCCTCTGCTTTGAGTTTAATAAGGCACAAGGGGACATCAGTGGCTCCATACACAGCTCTGCTCCTGAGAGCCACCGGCAGGAGCACTTCACAGCCTGTTGGGCCAGCTCACCTCTGCACGTTGTTGAGCTGTACATCAAGTTGGAAATGAATGGACAATAAAGTGTATAAACCTATGCTAAGAGGTAAGCAAGATTGCCTAATCAAAACCCTCATTTAATTCCACCATCTTCTCCTTTTCTTCACACCAGGAGTTTTAGGTAACCTTCAGTGATAGCATTTAGCTTCCTTTTTTTGCTGCATTTCTGCAAAGTTTCTCCATGCTACAGACTTTTGCATTTAAAAATAGTTATTTTTTCTCAGTACTAAAGCAGCTGCATTATGTTCCCAAGTCAAATATCCCGATTATTTAAAGCAGATCTCTTCTTCATTCCTTCAGTATGTTGTCAGCAGAAATTAAGTCGATGGAGAAATACGATGGCTGCAAAGTTCAGTTTCCATATTTCCATTGCAGAGAGCTCTCAGTCAAGTGCCTGCAGTCAAACACTAACTGCAGCCAAGTTCATATGTTACTGGGGACACCATAAGGGATTCTCGTAGGAGAGACTGAAGCTCAGTCATGGAGGTACCCCCTTTTCATTTAAAAAGCAGCTTTGAAAGAAGATTTGTCTGCCAAGTTCCTTGTAGTATTGAGAAAAAGAAGTCCTTGGAAAAACCTATATGCATGCTTGTATGCAGTACATAAATGGAGGGAGGCCAGCTGCAAAATACACACACCTTGGTTCATGGGGAGGTGACCCAAGGGTAAACGAGAAAAATTCATCCCCTGCTTTGCACATACACAAAGGGTTCAGATCTCTCCATTGCCAGAGGATGGGAGTCCATTAACAGCTCCCAAAGGCAAGCAACGAGCTGCTTGCTGGGGCTAAGATGCCTTTACTTCATTTTTGCTCATTTGAAGGCATTGGTATCACTTAAAGACGAAGAGGCAGCACTGGATAGGAAAAATTTTTAAAGGAAATTCCAGGATATATTCAAGTGCTAACAGGGTGGTGTCTGGGAAAGTGTTTTAAAAGGGGAAATGAGCAACACATCTAAGAAAACAAATGAACATTGATTGAAGATTTGAGGGAGAGGTCTAAGCTGACTGAGGGTGTTGTTTCACTGGCTTCTTTTGTGTTTGCTAGGATGAATTTGGCTCGAATTATAAAAATGACAAAAGCAGGTCAAAAGATAATTGTCTGTTTTATTTGTACAGAGCCTGCTCTCGGTGGTTGCTGTTCGCAACTAAGACTCAGGAATGGTTTCATCATACAACTAATGAAGACTAATAGTGCAGGTGAATTGTTTTGCATCTGATGTACAGGAATATTTTAAAAATTGTGATGCTGTAACTAGGAAATCTGTGCTCATTTTAAAGTTCCAGATGGTTTTGGAATTAACTCTGATTTCCTGAATAAAAATACCTGATGCAGCATCTTCAGAACATCTGTACTTGAATTGTGGCTGTCTTGTCACTTATGGTGACCAAGGTATATAGTTTCTTCTGCTCTTCCAGGAAACATGATTTACAGTTTTGTACGGTGCACCAAGAGTAGCAAAATGAGAATTAAGTCAGGAAGAGGCAGTCTTGAGTGCTGTGCATGGATTGGGCCTGGATTTGGTTAATTGCTTTACATGGAAAGTAGCTCTCACTTTAGCAGTGAAATCACTGGGTTGCATTTTATCTGGCAAGTCTGCTAACAGTTCACAGAAAGGAACTGAACTCTTGACACCACCTGTCCATTGATGACTGTAGAGTTGGATTTTTCCTTCTCAGTCTCTGTTTTCTACATGCACATTGTTTTCTTGGCTGATGCCTGAGGTCTTGGTAAGATTCAGGCTGAACTTCCGTTCAGCTTACTGAGTTTGGGTAGATAGCTCCCCTGGGAAAGGGCAGGGGTGAGCAGAAAAGATGAGCCTGCAGGGCAGCACACCCTCATCTTCCTTCCTTTCTTAGGGATTCTGCACTGGGATAGGGAACGTCCTCATGTTGCCTTTCAAGAACATGTTTTTATTTATTTATCACTTTTCATATGCAGGTTCCTATACATTCATACACCTATATATACATATTTTTGTGAAAGTACATTTAAATGCATTAATTATATGCCTTTTCTCTTTGTTACTATTTGTGACCCTGTAAAAATTAATCTGTGGGCCCTGGACAGTAAACTGGAGTATATCCCACGGCAAATTGCTTGAAGCAGCCAGCCACAATGCAGTGCCTGCAAACACAGTGCATCCTTCTCTGAGCACCTTGCAGTTTGTGTGTATCTGTGTGTTATACGCAGCCAGGAAAGGACTTTCAACAGATTTCCTGGTGCTCTCGTTCACAGACCCCAAACACACTTTCCATGAAAGTTTCAGTGGAAACTCTGCTTTGAAAAATTCCTGGATGCCTTTTTGCCTTCCTGATGTCAATTTACAGGAAAAGTTGGTGTAGCCCTTTGTAACATTTGGAAGCAGTGTCGATTAATACGAGTTATCTGTGTTATATTTGGTTTATTTTCTAAGCCTGGCTGAAAAATGGAACAAATTATTGCAAGGAGACAGGTAAACTCCTATGGTATAGTGGAACTGCAAGAGGTTTTGAACCCCAGGAGGTAATGATCAGAAGGTAGAATCTCAGGTGGAAAAAGAAGAAAAATTTCCAATGATATGTATGTTGTACCAAGCTTTCTAACAATGTGAGTGAGGGGCACCAAAAGCCCAGTACAGAGAGTTATCTGAGCCTGGGCTAGAGGAACCTCAGTGAGCAGGTGCCAGTGGCCAGCCTGGTACATAGGTATGTGGCTCATGCCCATTCCGAGTGCATCTGATTTTGTGCTTGAGCAATGACTGCTAAACATCTTTATCTTTTCTTATTTCTAGTTATTGTTGGATGATTTCTTCTCTGTCTTTTCTCCAGGGAAATGTTAAATTATTCTTTTTTTTTATCTCCCCCCCCGTCTGTCTACTGGTGTTTATTCCTCCCTGGAAGAAATCCAAGTTTTGTAATTAAGGCACTGGGAACAGTAAGAGGTTTGATCAGTAGATAAAACATAATTATAGCAGACCTGTGAGTCTCTCTGCAGTAAATATTTTAGCACCTTGGGCCAAATCCTCCATTAACATAAGAAGAGTTATTGGACATCACACTGCCTTACACCAACTGGGAATCTGTGCAAAACTGCACAGACAGCTCCAGTGTGGTTCTGTGGGAAAATATCCCCCTTGTCTCTCCCCCCCCCCCCCCCCCAAAAAAAAAACCACAACCAAACAAAAACCTTATTAAGATGATGAGATGCAATTTCTGTGCCCAACCAGCAGTTCAGATGAAATTTGTTGTTGCTGTTGTTTAGTTAGTTTTTTTGTTTTTCTTTTACATTCTGTGACACACACTTGCTTATCTTTTTTTCCCCTGGCTGTTTTTGAACATCCTGAAATAGAATTTTATCTGTATAGGTAAAATTTTCAAAACTAATCTCTTTAGTCGCAGTGTTGAGTATGCTGTTTCATAGTTGGCTTGCATATATTAATCAGCCAAGCACTGTAACTTATACCTTAATTGGGGCACTTAGGTGAGGGTATGTGGTAGAAGCATTTTGCAGACAAAAATCTCAGAGCAGAGTGATTTGGAGAACAACACCAAACTGGCTGAATTTTCCCCAAATTTTGCTGTTTCTGGGTATCTTATTTACCTCCCTACTGAGGTCCTGAGCCTATTTCCATGCCATAGCTAGTGGCGATTGCTATTTGTGGCCTTCCTGACCAGTGAAAATGCTGTGAAGGGAGGTCAGCCACGTCCCCCAAGGTCTTCCCCAGCTGTGAGCCTTGAGGGAGCCTGACATTAAGTATTATTCACTGAACCAGCAAAGTACCAGATGTTGTCCTGCTGACTCCTCACCCCTCTGGGTGGATCGAAGGCTGTAGAGGGACATGCAGAAAATTATCTGCCACAGACATGGAAAGAGAAGGACTTCTGGGAAGAACCACCCCCATGCATGTGATGGAAAATTCTCCAAGGAGACCGAATAGATGAACCATAACACAGTTTGAGAAGCTGTCCCCTCCCCAGGCTGTGTTGACAGTCCTTTCAGGTAGTCAAGACCGAACAAATGAAGTGACCTAGTGGGGAGGATGAGCACCACTTCCAGGTCTCTCCCATGAGCAGAGCTTGTCCTGCTGCTGCCAGATATAGAGGCTAACATGTTTCCAAAGGGAGACCTTTGCTGAAGAAAGAAAGCTGAACAACCAGTTTTCTGCTTTGTCACAGATGGCATTAGGTAGGATCTTACATAAAAATGAACATTCAACCCATTGGGGAACCAGCTTCCCCCTGTCCGTCTTCATGCAGTCATTTACAGAAATGATCTGCTTAGTATTTTGGAGGGTGCTCTCCATCTGATTGCATCTCTCTCTGTGGGGGTTGTTCAGAAACTGGAAGGCATAGAAATCAAGACAAAAAGCAACAAAGATGAAAATCAAAAAGAAAGTGAATTTAAGACCATGAAAGTCCTATGGCAATTGCTTTAAGTTTGTGCCACAACTCCTGCAGGAAGAGTCCTGCAGCAAAGGCAACAGTTGGTAATAGATAGCTTATAGCATAATAGAGAAAACAAATCCCTTGCTATGTCTTGCTTCAAAAGCAGGACCAATAACCTAGTGTATTCCGAGCAAGGACACTGCGACTAACACACTAGAGAGTTTAAAGAAAGCATTGAATAACAATGCAACATTATTAGAATAGGAAGAAAAATAGTCTCATTAAAATGGTATGTCCTAGCC